CTTCAGTCCTTGCTGCAGAGACCCCCCCCCCCACCCCTGTTCCCCAACAGGATATTCCCATCTCCATTCTTTACTGTTGGAATGGGATTATTTGGATGGGGAGCTGGATTGGATTTCTGCCAGACATGTAGTGTTGAGGCCAAATAATTCGATTTTAGTCTCATCTGACCAGAACACCTTTTTCTATGTGGCCTCAGAACCTTCAAGGTGCGTTCTGGCATACCTCAGTCATGACTGCATATGTCCTTTCTTGAGAAGCGGCTATTTTCTTGCACCCCTCCCATACAAGCAACATTTGTGGATAATTCATGATATTGTTGCCACATACACACAATGACCACTCTGTCAAAAATTCTGCAACTTCTTTAGAGTTGCTGTAGGCCTCTTGGTAGCCACTCTGACCAGTTTCCTCCTGGCTCTTTCATCCAGTTTGGAGCTGCATCCTGATCCGAGGAGGATCTGTGTTGTACCAAATACCTCCCACTTCTTAATATACTTCATTTTGCTTCTAGGCATTGATAAAGCTTTTGAAATTTTTTTTTGTATCCATCTACTGACTCGTGCTTGTCCACAACTTTATCCCAGAGATCTTTTGACAGCACCTTGCCACCTATAGTTGATTTTTTGCTTCAGTTGCACTACCAGGGACTGAAATGCTCCAGGAAAGCACTTTTCATGCTGAGCTAATCAAAATGACCACAGCGGATTACTGAAAGTCAAATAGCTTTGTGTGCCATTGAGAAGGTGATTAGCTGCACCTGATTGTCATTTTTAGGAGGGGGTGATCCTTTTTCCCAACTGAGTAATTTTGTTTTAGAATTTTCTGACAGGTTAGTGTCTTATCTTTCACTTGGATGTTATAAGTTGCACTGAGAAAATACAGCTGGATAAAACAAAAACTGTGTGTCTTCATTTCAGGCTGCAAAGCAACAAAATATGATTATTTTAACCCCCTTCGCGCCAACGTCACACAAATATGCGGCCTTACAGAACTGGGCTTTTTCCGTGGGTCGTATATTTTCGTACCTGTCTTCGTGCTGGGAGCACGCCACACAGCACGCTCCCATCACAAAGATCGGGGTGTCACTGAGAGCTCCGGGTCCCGTTCTAACGATCAGGACCCCCGATAAATTGTAATAAAAGATAAATTGTATCTCTCTACCTCCTGGCATAGAGGGGGGGAAAAAATGTTTGTTGGAAACAAAAAAAATAAATAAAATTAAATAAAATAAATAAATTTTAGAAAAAAAAATAAAAAATACATAGATCAAGGTTTGATCTAGTTCAGTGCCAGGGTAAGTGTTTGGGTCTAGGTCAGGGTCAAAGGTCAGGATTTATTTTTTTAAATTGGCGTCAGTGTGTTTTTTAATTGTGTATTTAAAATATAAATATATATATATTTATTAATAAGAGCCTGCAGCAAAGCATTGCACCCACGATCAGCAGATCATGGGTGCAATGCAAGGCTCCTGCAGACAGTCAGTGTATCTGTCTGCTAGTACCTCGGACGGGCAAGCAGTTACACAATAACAGTAAGCATCAATGAACTACCAAAAGCACTCATCAGCTCCCTAGTAGTTCATTGAGAACTACAAGCTGACAGCCACAAAAGGTGGTACTTGTAGTTCTCTCATTGACAAAACTCTGTGAATGAATGATGCGACTAGGTGGGCGGAGCCACACACGTCCACTTTTCTTTTTAATTAGTGGGAGAGGATCCCCTGTTCGCCTTCACAACGGGGGATGGTGCTGCTGCAACAGTAACATGTTACACCCTGAACACGGGTGTAACATGTTACAAAAGATTAACTTATCCTTTAACTGTAAATACTGATGATATGCAACTACTGAATAACTGAGAGACAGTGGCGTCCCCAGGCAGGTGCGGGGGGGTGTGCACCGCACCGGGTGACACCGGACCCGCTCCACGAAAAACTAAGGTGTAAAGCAAGCCGACAATCCCCGCAGGATTGTCGGCTTGCTTTACAACTTACCTTTTCGTGGAGCGGGTCCAGTGTCACCTGGTATAGGTTGCATGCCGACGATCCCTGAAGAATGGATCGGATCTGCGGATTGGGGAGCATAATGGACTCCGATCCATTATGCTCAATCCGCAGATCCGATCCATTCTGCGGGGATCGTCAGAGGGGGTGTCACCAAGTGTTATCACACCGGATGACACCAATCCTAGGGACGCCCCTGCTGAGAGAACAGAATTTCGTGAGCCCTAATGTGCTTATCCCATGAAATCCAATGCAGACTAGTCAAGCGGGCTTATTTAGTTTGCATAAAGAGCAATGTGCAAATTGTCCAAATCAGCCAATTAGATGTTGGTTTGCTATAGCCAAAAAAGTAACCAATGAATTGTAATTGGTTGCTATGGATCTCAGGGCTTTTTGCATCACACCTGCCCTTTTCGCTGTCTTTTTTTTTTCCCAGGCATCGAGTTCTAGTACTGTATATCATGTATATTTATGAAGGCAGAAACACTTACGTATTTAGCAAAAAAAGATTTCTGTTCTTGTGGATTTTTTGCTTTCTGGGCTTGTTCCATCTCCAAGCGCTCTATGAAAGCTGCAGTTTCAGGTCTGGAAAGAAATAAAATGATATCTAACAGAGCAAATAAAGTTACAGGAAAATTAAAAAAAAAAAAAAACAGAATGATTTGAGATGAAAACTCACACTGCTGCTGGAACAGGCTGCTGGATATAGACGGTCGTATTAAACTGCTCCAGATCCACATCCTCTACTTCTGCGCTGTTGCAGGACCCTGGGAAGGTGATTATAGAAATGCCTACAATATTCCCAGAAATATCTGTGTGAACAGTGATTTGATCTGAGAGATGAGATTCAACCATGGAGCACTGCAAGGAAATGAAAATATCACCATGACATAGGCTGGTAAAGTTGTACTTGTGCTTTGTATACGCAGGATAAAAGAAAGATTCTACAGCAGTGTCTTCCCTTCTCCTTCTCACCGCTCTACAGATTGCAAGGGTATGGAGCCCTCTGAACTTGAAGACTAACTATAAGCAAAATTTTTTTTAAATTTTTGGATAGAGTGGAGATGGTTTAGAACATGCGTCAGGTTTTTACTGAACTCTGTGCTCCCATTAAGGAGATCCCCCCCTATTTGTCCTGTTTACCATCATTATTGAAAGTGAAATAAAAAACAAAAATTATGGGTTGTCCCCAGAAAAGTAATAGAGGGGAAATCTTCTAATGGGGACACTAGTTCTGGCGACCCCAAGGAATTCTCTTAAATTTGCAGGGAATATTTCTCACTGCCTGTTTTGCTATGAGACAGGAAGTGAGAGGAAATCTCTGCAATGGGACACAGATGGCGGAATTTTTTTTTTTTTTTTATTTTAACAGAGGTTATAACCCTCCCTTCCCTTACCACCCCTATCCAAAATGGAAAAAAAAATGTTTCTATAGTTTCACTTTATTAGAGCTTGCAGTGGGGTGTCTCCATGCCCACATGACAACACTACTGCCTTAATGGCCTATTGGGAGGAAAGAAGTACTGGATATTTCTTTGCTTCCCACAGGAAATTGGGAGGAGGCAAGTGTAAGCTGTTGCAGCAGATGGCATTAAAGTGTTACTACTAAACCCCGAACCTTGCATTCACTCTGTCTGGTCTCCCACAGTACACACATGAAAATTATATTATTTTAGAAAATATAAACTGCTTAATACCTTTTCTCATCGTCAGTCTTGTGACTTCTATCTGGCCTCCCCGTGCAGTCCCTTGTGACATTCTATCCGGTCTCCCCGGACCCCGCATTCCCTATATCTCCCCGGACCCCGGTCTCCCCGGACCCCGCATTCCCTATATCCGTCTCCCCGGACCCCCTGCATTCCCTATATAGGTCTCTATAATATCCGGTCTCCCGATCCCTCCCCGGACCCCGCATTCCCTATATCCGGTCTCCCCGGACCCCGCATTCATTCCCCTATATCCGGTCTCCCCGGACCCCACATTCCCTATTCCCTATATCCGGTCTCTCCGGGGCAGAAGGATTTTAGGAAGTAAATTCTACATGAATCATCTGCCCTTACTCAAGATGGCCACAACCATAAACTCTAGGGGTGTTTTTCAGTGATTTCTCAGCAAATTAAAGCATGGAGACATGGATGGATGGGGGAGTTTCCTCTGAGTATTAGAAATGAATGAAATGGCATTTTTGGTTTGTGGTGCTCAGATACAGTGTAGTTCTGCTTTAAACTTTTTATTTCATTTGTTTTCTGAAAATGAACCAGTTAGAAAATAAAGTGCATGTCATTAGGAAGTTTAAAAAATGGTTTCTCTTCAAGGCCTGGTTCACAATTATGCAGGTTTATGGCCCGTGTTTGGGCACGCAATGTACTCAATGCAATGGGCTGCAGTGCCTGCATTTCCCACAGGGAAAAGGTTCCTGCACCATACTAAAAAAAATGCCGTGGCCGGGAAAAGCACCGTGCGATTTCCCTGTGGTTCTCGCAAACACGCTGCAGATTAAAAAAAAAGAATGGCAGCCCCACGCGTTTTCGGGTGGTTGTTGGTATCACTGCAATTCCTGCACCTGCAACCACCCGCAAAGATCTGAAGCAGGCTTAAAGGCCAACTGTATCTTTACAACAATCGTCCTTTAATTCTCCCCATGTCCGAGTGCAAACCACCTTGTCTTCCCCATTCTCTTGATATTCACTGTAGTTGTCCACATAGCACAGCCTTTTTAGCTATAGTCAGTGGTGTATTTAGGTTTTGTGCTGCCCTAGGCAACACAAAAATTGCCCCCCCCCCCCCCCACAGAGGCTGTGACACCAACCAACACTCCCCTCCCCTACAATGAGAGCCTGACATTGATCAACAACACCCCAGCCCTCCTCAACCGAGAGAGCCTTATGCTACCACCGCCCCCCATACAGTGACAATCTCCCCCCACCACCTTCACAGCTCCGGACATCCCCGGGAACAAGAGTCAAATTCTGCATACACCATCAAGCAGCCCACAGCCTCTCTCAGATCCCACCTGGTCTCCATACTGCATGTGTCCCTTCTCCCAAGACTTCTTTCAGGGGGCAGTGCTACCCCCCTGAAAAATGCCGCCCTAGGCAAATGCCTTGGGGTAAATACGCCCCTGGCTAGAATGCAAATCTTGGGTCCTCTTCTTTGTGCGTAAGGGTATCATGGCCCCTTTAATTTCTCTAAGTTGTGCCTATGGCAGCCTCCAGTAGTCCAGTGGGGTAGAGTTCTCTCATAAGAATGAATGGGTCTGCAGTGCTCATATGCACTAAGACAACTTATAGATGATTTTTTTTTACTAAAAGGGTTGTGCCATGCAAGGCCACACACTGAAAATAACTGGATCTGGGAGGAAGGCAAGTGTTCGATCAGGTGGTTTGCACTCAGAGTGGTGAATGGATTAATTAAAGAACAGCTGTTCCAAAGGTTGTCCTACAAGCCTACTGAAAGAAAACCTGCAATGAAACAAATACAGTGGCTTTACTTGATTTCCACCTGAGAATACTCTGCTTAGCTGTCTCTGCCTTCAAGTCACTGAAGAGGGACTAGCCTGCAGATGAGAAAGTCATAACCCCTGATCTGCATACTTTTCACATTCTTGCCTCACACTGTTGAAGCCAGTGGATCTAGTCTTGCAGTACAGATTTCTTTGAAATTCTACACAAAACATTGAAAAAAAAAAAAACAAGAACTTACTGCCCGAACAAATGATGTAACATATTCACTGGATTCTTCAGAAAGGCCCAGCTTATAAGGGATCCGAATCCTATAAAGTCCATTCAGGTTTGCAATATCCTGGAAATAAATTATTATTATTATACAGGATTTATATGGCGCCAACAGTTTGCTCAGCGCTTTACAATATAAAGGAAGACAATACAGCAACAATACAGAAACAATACAAGAGGGTTAGGAGGGCCTGATCCTTGGAGCTTACAATCTAAGAGGGAGGGGCTAGTGGTACAAAAGGTAGTAACTGTGGGGGATGGACTAGTTGGAAGAGTAAAAGATTCCATTATTAGCAGAGGTCAGGATAGGCTTCCCTGAAGAGATAGGTTTTCAGAGATCGCCTAAAAGTGAGCAGAGTAGGCGATAGTCTGATAAATTGGGGTAGAGAGTTCCAGAGGATGGGGGAAGCTCTGAAAAAGTCCTGTAGACGAGCATGGGAGGAGGAGACAAGAGAGCTAGAGAGCAGGAGGTCGTGCGAGGAGCGGAGAGTACAGTTTGGGTGATATTTGGAGACAAGATTGGTGATGTAAATTTGGGGCAGAGTTATAAATGGCTTTATATGTTATTGTTAATGTTTTGAATTTTATCTGTTGGGCAATTTTAAGCCAGTGGAGGGATTGGCAGAGAGGGGTGGAGGACACTGAGTGGAGGCCAGTGGAGGGATTGGCAGAGAGGGGTGGAGGACACTGAGTGGAGGCCAGTGGAGGGATTGACAGAGAGGGGTGGAGGACACTGAGTGGAGGCATTGGCAGAGAGGGGTGGAGGGATTGGCGGAGAGGGATGGCAGATACAGAACGGTTAGTAAGGTGGATGAGTCTGGCAGCAGCATTCATGATAGACTGAAGAGGGGATAGCCTGCGATGAGGTAGGCCAATGAGCAGGAAGTTACAATAAATGCATACATTCACTATACCATTAACCTACATGTGTGATCACAAAACCCTGACCTGTTGGATTCTGATAAATCGTTCCATTTTGCATCCTAAGCTATGGCTGTGCCCGGACAATGTTGTTCTGTAGTCATTTGCAGTGTGAGATTTAAGGTACTGCTAGTCTCAGGAGATTTGAGGAGGTAACCACTGTGCTGCTCATTGTTTTCTTTGCTAGAAAGGAAGCTGTACCTGAGGCTCTACAAGTATCTCTCTGTTCTGAGACTAAATCTGTGGATCTGTGCTTTCTACATCTCTTCTGCTGCTTCTTGTTCACAATTTTCATAGGTCATCAGGGAAGGGGGGGGGGGGGGGGGGGGCATTGATATGAGGAAGCAAAGCCCTACTCCTCTACCAAGATGGCCAGTTCCACTCAGTGCAGAAAAATGTATGGTATGTCAGTAATGGGGAAAAGATCAGCTGTAGGCAGCTTGCCTATATATACACCAGGGACCAGTGCTTGCCCTTTCTGGGGACGGCTTCCACAACACAAGTCTTCCTCGGTTCTTGTGTGCATGCAAAATAAACTAGCTGCTGTTAAACATTTTTTTAAAGGGACTTTGAAACATAAATCGTATTGTATTGTAAACGCCTACCCTGAGTCTGTTCCTCTCATCCTCAGTCAGCTGCTTCTGTACAATAGAAACACTCTGGTCTGGGGAAGGGCTCAAGATCAGCGATCCTCTCTTCTTGAAGTGGATACTGTCATCTATACCAAAACAGAGACTCAGGTTAGACATTTTATTCTGCACACCTCTCACTTACACACATAAGGAAAGTCTTTAAAACACAAAAAGACACAATACCATAAAATGTATTTATTAGTTATAGGTACTTATATAGCACCGTCAATTTACACAGCACTTTACATATATATTGTACATTCACATCAGTCCCTAACCCTCAAGGGGTGTACAATCTAAGATCCCTAACCCTCAAGGGGTGTACAATCTAAGGTCCCTAACTCACATTCATACATACACATACTAGGGCCAATTTAGACAGGAGCCAATTAACCTACCAGCATGTCTTTGGAGTGTGGGAGGAAATTGGAGTTCCCGAAGGAAACCCACGCAGGCACAGGGAGAACATGCAAAGTCCAGGTAACCACTTAGTTCTCTTTAAAGTGGTTGCATTCTATGTATGAAGAAGAAGAAAACTCAGTGTGAAGCCCCCCCCCAATACTCACCTACTCACCTGAGCCCGATCTTGATCCAGCGCTGTGCAAGGGAGCCTCGGCCATCTTTCCTTATTGGCTAAGACAGCAGTGGGAGTCATTGGCTCTCACTGCTTTCAATCACAGCCAGTGAGCCAATGAACAGAGAGCGGGGTGGTGCTGAGCTGCGGCTCTAAGAGTCTTAAGGGTGCATACAGCAGGGCTCGGGAGCAAGCAGACACCAGTGCCACCATAGCAAGTGGTTTGCTATTAGGTGGACTGGTCAAGGGAGAGAAGCAAAGAGCACCGGTGGGGGACCCAAGAAAAAAAGGATCAGGGCTGCTCTGTGCAAAACCATTGCACAGAGCAGGTAAGTATGACATGTTTTTTTTTTTTTTTTTTTTTTTTTTTTTAAATAACACACACACACACACACACACACAAGCATTAATATCCCTTTAAAAGCAAATGCAGGCACCCAAAGGTCCCTGCACATACCTGTACAAGCTTTTAGTACCCCCTGCTTGGACCAAATGGCAGGCACTGTACCATGTCCATTTTCTACCGAGCCAGCAGTATGATGGGCTGCCTCACTGGCCAGTAGGATTGATAAGTGAGAGGGTATAGACAAATTTAGCACTATGATGAGATTCTGAAGCTTTGCCCAACCTAACAGCCCGGCATTTGGACAACGAGAGAGTATTGAAAGCTCCTACAGGTACTTCTTGGTGCCGACATTTCATACCCGTCATTGGCTTTCACTAGTCTTAAGTGACAACTTCTTGAGCGCACCTACTGTATACTCAAATGTAATACAATATACAGTAAGATTTTTGCTGACAAGTGACAAAAGGGCTGATACTAATTGGATATAAATCTGGTCTAGTTCCCTCCAGTGCCGCTTTAATCTCTGAAACCTAAAAAAAAATGTTTAAAAAAAAAAAAAAAAAAAAAGCGAAGGACGTACAGCCAAAGCTTTATTGGCGATACTTCTCTTCTGATTCACACTTACCTTTGTACTCATGTAACCCAGAATCAGCAAACAGCAGGTTAAAGCCCATTGTGGGCTGACATCAAGGAGATGCTCCAGGCACTGGAAGGACCCTGACTATATTGCTGGGATCCACGCAGATGCCTGATCAGCACCTGGCTCAGCCTTTCAGTTGCTGCTGAAAGCCTAAAGCAGACGCTCCCGCCCCCTCCCCAGCCCAGTGCTCCGGTGAGTGCATAAAGGCTGTAAAATCAATCATTTCTTCTTCTCTCTGTGAGAGCTGTTATTGGTCACAGCTTGTCACGTGGTACAAGGCTGTTGTGAATAGCCCTGTACCATGTGACCTCTGTGATCATTCACAGATTTCACACGTAGTAAGCAATGATGTCAAAAGTGACATCTTGTTTACTACTATTCATGTGATCACTGATTGGCCAATCAGTGATCACATGATTGGGACCTCACACAGAGGTCCCGTACAGCGATCATTGGATCGTGGTGACGCGCGCTGCCAGGGAGCGTGCACAGGCAGAAAATGCGGGCACCATTTATGAACGGCAACCCACTCCTGCACAGCTCCCGTGATTAAGTGGAAGTGGTTAAAGCAGACCTTCAATAAAAAAAAAAAAAAAAAAAAAAAAAAAAAAGAAATCATATTTGAGTGCTTTACACAGCCCCCAACACATACCACGTACAGCAGCACAGTGGCTTAGTGGTTAGCACTTCCACCTAGCAGTACTAGGGTTGTTGGTTCGAATCCCAACCACGGCACCACCTGCCTGGAGTTTGCATGTTCTCCCTGTGCCTGCGTGGGTTTCCTCCAGGTGCTCCGGTTTCCTCCTACACTCCAAAGACATGCAGGTAGGTGAATTGGATCCTGTCTAAATTGTCCATAGTATGTATGGATGTGAGTTAGGGACCTTAGATTGTACGCCCCTTGAGGGTTAGGGACTGATGTGAATGTACAATATATATGTGAAGCGCTGCGTAAATTGACGGCGCTATATAAGTACCTGAAATAAATAAATAATATAAACAAAAGGTTTCCCAGCAAACATACCAGCTTGCCTGCAAAACAACCAAACTGGCCATGTCTAACAATTCATGTTAAAAACAGAGGATTTTGTTGCACACATTTTGCAAATATAGGCGCAAGCCGCAGTGCCCACGTCAAGGCTCCCTATGTACTGCAGTCCTAACTCTATAGATTCCAGAGTCACCTAAGTCTCGTTAGCGGAGCCTTTGAGAAAGCCGACGGGGGCACAATGGGTCAGACGGCCAGTGACCTCATCAAGCTAGGCGAAGCTCAGATGCCATTTTGGAAAGTCGAGTATTCTAAAAGCCTGCGACATGCCTCAATGAATTTTTCAACATGTGAGTGGAATTTTATACTTTCTTATGGAAATAAACTGGTGGTCTGCACTACTGGATGTTTCTTTGCCAATTTGGTTTCCAGGAGGGAGGGGCAGACGACCCCTTGTGGACATTGAGGTAGTTTTCTTTGAAAATGGAATCAAGATTTCGAGATAGAACCAAGATTTGGGGATATTTGTAGATGCAGTTCTCTTTTTTTGCCCATTAGAGACATTCAGACACCAGGCTCCTGGTCCAGATGGAGGAAAAATTGGGGGTACCCACGCCGGCTGAAACGTTGATCAGGCTGTACATTTTAGAAGTTCAAGTAAGTGCATAGTGGTGGAGGAGTCACATGGAAGATTGTTTCACTTTTTGCATCTGAAGTGGAGTTCACTCACCACCATTATTTTGAATGGACTATTTCACCAGCAGTTGGCTCCCTTTCAAGATTTTGCACCAGCACTTTATGATTGGTTATATATATTTGTTGCAATGGGTTACATTAATTTTGTTGTGCTACATTTGAGTGTAATTACACATTTATATTGTCTTGTATGCACTTTGTCAATAGTGTTTCCCCAATTTAGGTTTGAATTTATTAAGAATTGTATTTATTTGTAGCTCTGCACTATTTGTTTACATAAGAATAAGGAACATGTTATCCATCAACAACCACACAGCTCTGGCAACTTGTCTCCATCAATATGTCCTGCCCTGATTGGAGATATGAGTAAAATGCAAATTGCTGAGAAGTATTCCAAGCAGTTCTGTTCACTTGCTTACCAAGTTCAAACGAATGTTCCAATTCTAGGTTTGTTCCACAATTTTCAGATTCTCTTCCTTCTCCAACCTGGAAAGAATGAAACTGGAGATTAGTCCCAACAAGAAACATAACTGCCGATGCTCGTGGAATTTAAAGGAGAATTCAGGGGCTTTGAAAATTGGCCTTTGGGTTTTATTAATGGCCAATGTCATAATAACCTCTAAATTGCTACCTCCACTATCACAATGTCTTGGTGTATTTTTCTTTATTACAAACACTACAGTAAAGTACAACTAAAGGCTCATGTATGACAGTCTAAGCAAGGCCCAGTATAAAGCCCAAAAAACTGCTATACGCCTCCCAGGCCCAGTATACTGCCCACAGGCTGCTATACGCCTCCCAGGCCCAGTATACTGCCCACAGGCTGCTATACGCCTCCCAGCGTACAGCCCACAGGCTGCTATACGCCTCCCAGCGTACAGCCCACAGGCTGCTATACGCCTCCCAGCGTACAGCCCACAGGCTGCTATACGCCTCCCAGCGTACAGCCCACAGGCTGCTATCGCCTCCCAGCGTACAGCCCACAGGCTGCTATACGCCTCCCAGCGTACAGCCCACAGGCTGCTATATGCCTTCCAGTGTACAGCCCATAGACTGCAATATACTTCCCAGTGTACAGCCCATAGACTGCAATATACCTCCCAGTGTACAGCCCATAGACTGCAATATACTTCCCAGTGTACAGCCCATAGACTGCAATATACTTCCCAGTATACGGCCCATAGACTGCTCTATACCTCCCAGTATACGGCCCATAGACTGCTATACACCTCCCAGTATACGGCCCATAGACTGCTATTCACCTCCCAGTATACGGCCCATAGACTGCTATATACAGCTGGCCAGTCATTGTCAGCCCCTTACCTTCACTCTGCACACATTAGCCCGAGTTCCAGTCGGGAGTAATAAGGAGACAACGAGAGACACAAGCACACCGTGTGCCATCCACCGGGCCATCACCTTCCCAGATAAAGTCAATGTATTCATGTCCCCGTGTCCCCTCCGTCCCACCGTACAGGCCGCCATGACAGTCCGAGACGGAAATCACATAGCGCATGCGCATCAGTCGCCAGCCAGACTGTACCAAACCAACATGGGGGGTGGAGAGATTTTCATCTCTTATCTCGCTAGTATACCAACGTCGAAACCTTTCATTAACTCAAATAACACCTCTGCAAATGGACAATTCGTACTGATTGCTGGTGCGGGTTAGAAAGTCAAGGAGAGAAGTACAAAATGGGATATACCATGTGACTTGAAATCGTGCGGGTTAAGCCTCGATGCGACTGACCAATCAGAATGTTATATAGCCAGGCAGTCTAGTTGCAGTTGCTGTATCTATAATCTACCCCCAACTACTCCTGTCTGAAACTGATTTTGACATATAAATAAAGTTATTAAAAGGCAAGAAAGGAAAACAATAAAAATATATCAGCTGAGTATTCTTTAACCGCTTTCCCGCCATCCATTAGTAGAACTAGTGCTACAGGGCTGCACAAAATCACATATATACAGGATTTACGTTTCCGGGTAGGGGGTGCACACGCGCTGCCCTACCTGCGCCGCCATTGGCGGCCATGGATGTCACTCACTGGGTCCTGGCCGGAGATTTCCCACTGGCACCCGGCAATCGCCGAGTAGAACTCACAGGAGAGACCTGTGTGTAAACAACACAGGTCTCTCTCCTGCCTGTCTCCCTAGTAAAACACACAGCACACAGTTAACCCTTTGATCACCCCAGATGTTATCCTCTTCCTGCCCAATGCCATTAGTACAGTGCAGCTTTTTATTAGTCAGTCCCCCCCAGTGTCAGAATGCTCGCCGCAGTGTGACTTTAAGTCACTCGCCGCCATTACTAGTATATAAAAATACAGTATATATATCGCCATTTGTAGACACAATAACTTTTATAACTTTCACGTAAACCAATTAATTTACACATATTGGGATTTATTTTTTTTTATTAGTGTCACTGGTGTCAGTCAGTGACACCAAGTCAATTCCCACCCAGTGTCAGAATGCGCACCGCAGTCCCACTTTAAGTCGCTGCTCGCTACCATTACTAGTATAATTTTTTTTTTAAAATCCAGTATATATATATATATATACTGCCATTTGTAAATTCTATAATAACTTTCATGTAACCCAATTCATTTCCAGGTATTAGGATTTTTTTTTTTAGCAAAGACACGTAGCACAATACATTTTGGCCTAAATTTATGAAGAAATTTGTTTTTAAATTTTTTTACTGGATGTTTTATAGCAAAAAGTCAAAAATATATTTTTTTTTTCAAAATTGTCGGTCTTTTTTTGTTTATATCGTAAAAAATAAAAAATGCAGAGGTGATCCAATACCACCAAAAGAAAGCTCAATACGTGGGAAAAAAAGGACGTCAATTTCATTGTAGCATTGCATGACGGCGCAATTGTCAGTTAAAGTAACGCAGCGCCGTATCGCAAAACGTGGCCTGATTATGAAGGGGGGGGAATCCTCTGGAGGGCAAGTGGCTAAAGCAGAAGTAAACTCAAACACTCAAACATACATTTCCTGTCCCTCCCCCTCCCTCTAATGCAGGCCCTACACGGGTCGAATTCCAAATAAATTTTCTTTAGAAAATCGGAACTTTTGTGAATTTTGTAATTTAATGGGACCGCTATTGATTTTCGAAATTCAACCAACCAAGCCTTCAATTTCTTCTCATGTTGCTACAGAAAAGAATTTTCGTGGCCAAGAATTTTCTATTATTTCCAGGTCACAGCTTTATATTTCTCGCACGATTCTCCCATCATCGATCTGAAATTCGGTTGTTTTTAAAAAAATGTCCGATCACTCAAATTCTATGGTCACACGAAAATCAGCCTTTTCTGTGACCCACTAATGGTGCGAAATTCGAACAAAAATTCTTAGAGAAGATTTTCAAAAGAAAATTCTTTCGGAATTCAAAACATGTTTGGCCGGCTTTACACAAATGCTAGAAGTTTTTATTCTCTTTATCTGTTTACTGTTTTCCTTCCTTATGTGCTGCAAGGTAGCATTTCCAGGTTTCTGGCCTAGGCCAGGCCCCGATGCCTCCAAGGATTGCTCCGTCATAGCGGCTGAGCAGCGTATCTGCACATGTGTGCTGGATTTCCACGCATGCGCATAAATGCTGCTAGGCACTATATTGCCTATCCAACAGAAGCTGGTAGCATTTGTACGCATGCACAGAAATCTACGGTGCGCAGATGCGCTGCTGGTTTCCTTCAGCTCCCAGATGCCTGGAAGAGACCAGTGAAGCATCTGCGCATACGCTGGTTTTTTTAAAAATGGCGGACGAGGGCTTTAAAGTGGAGAGGGGGGGAGCAGCTCAGTTCAGTTTTTAAAGTGTAACTTTAGTTAGAAAATGAAGTCCTGCGAGATACTTCAGGCTGGCCCCTTTTGCAGGTATAGCTATGTAAAACAATAAATATAAGTGCCTACTTTTTATAATCCAGTAATGCACTGTCTCACCCAGGGGCGGACTGACCATTTGGAAACTTGGGCAGTGCCCGAGGGCCCGGGGTCAGTAGGGGGCCCCATGAGATGCCCCTGGTACCTTTTTCATAGGCTTTTTTGAGTTTGGGCAAGGACACAGGGGCTCCATGATCCCCTATTGTCCGGGGGCCCCATGAGTTGTCAGTCCGCCCCTGGTCTCACCCTGCTCTGCACATGCTCAGTTGCTCTCTGTTTTTGGCACTGTGCCTAAAATATAGAGGCCAATGGGCTGACAGCCTAAAGATTTACTGCTGCTCAGGGGCTCTGGGCTTCAGCAAAATGGCAGCCTTGGAGCAATGCTGGAAGCAATTTACAGCACACGCTAATTTTGGTAGCAGAATTTTTAATGTGGAATGTATGTTCATTGCTAAAGAACATTATTTTTTTATCAAGTTGTTATGGGTAAATTTCTACTTTGACCCCTTGGTGCCGAGTGGGGCCGCATATTTCAATATCTCCCAGCTCCCAGCACAGAGACCGGGGGTCTCACTGAGAGCCCCTGGTCACGTACTATAATTCAGGACTTGGAACTCCCGATTCCAGGACACCTGACTGCTATGATAGCCTCTGATTGGCTATCATACAGATCAGTCACTGTGAAGCCTGCCCCCGGCTTCACAGTGACTGACCAGTGTATGGAGGAGAGATATATTGTATCTCTTCTCTCTTTGCAGAGAGAAAAAAAAGACAACAGTGTGTAAAAAAAAAAACAAAATAATAATAATAATAAAAAAATACCTAGATCAAGGTTTGATCTAGGTCAGTGCCAGGGATAGTGTTTGGGTCAAAGCCTGGGTCAAAGGTCAGGGTCAGTAATTTTGGGGGGCAATATTTTTATTTTACACTTTTTTTTATAAGTATCAGTGTCAGTGCATTTTACGAAGGATAAAAAAAAAAGAAAGAAAAATTAACACCATTGGCCACAAATGCCATTTTCGTTTTTAGTTGTATTTTACTTGTCTAAAATAGTGTTAATTGCATTGACAAAAATATTTTCATTGACAAAATGAATACTGCTGAATGGATTATTGCTGATTATGGAATGGATTACTGCTGAATGGATTACTGCTGAATCTCAATATACAACAGTATAATTTTCGAATGTTCATTTTATTATTATTATTAAGTAGCCTTCAGGTTCCAGGCACGTGAAAAGGGCTGAAAGGTGCAGTCTGGAAGAAAGATGCAATCAGTCTCCTGCATGCAGGAGATAAACCCACATGGAAGAAAAATATATTTTACATATATTTAAAAAATATTCTTCCCAAATATATTGACATATATTTGAAATACTACAATTTTGGCCATATTCAAAAAAAAAAAAAAAAAAAAATATAATATATATATATATATATATATATATATATATATATATATATTGTATGTTGAAATACATTTTTTATATAGTACAAAATATATGAAAAATATTTTTAAAAATGCATTTTCAAATATACTGTATGTCTTTAAAGATACATTTTTAATCTACATTTTTGGAATGCATTTAAAAATATATGTAAAATAATATATAAAAAATACTTTTTTATATTTTAAAAAATCTGAAGAATATATTTAAAAAAAATATATTTTTAAAAATATTTTTCATATATTTTGTAATATATAAAATGTATTTCAACATACAGTATATATATATATATATATATATATATTTTGAATATGGCCAAAATTGTAGTATTTAAAATGTATGTCAATGGGAAGAATATTTTTTAAATATATTTAAAATATATTTGTCTTTTTCTTATGGGAATGATCAGACAGCAACATTGTAGTAATTGAGAAGCAACATGTAAGCAGGTGCAGTTAGCTACTCTGCCATTAGGTGGCCCTCTCCTGGAATAGAATGGTAAAAAAGAACCATTAGAACAAGTGATAGCTCCCCTTTTAGAAAAAGTCCTTCCTGTAGTGATGTCATGGGTGAGTCCCTGCCCTCTATATAAAAGCCAGGTGGGGGGGGGGGGGGGGGGGGGGGGGAGCTTTAGAGTAGATGGAGCATTGGAGTCCCGTATGCTATACCCATGCAGATGTAGTCAACCCAGCCAAGGCTCTGTTCAAGGCAGCAGTCCCAAGAGAAGTGTATAGCATTCAATAGGGGCAGCTACAGCAATCCTGTCTCTGGAACGACTAAAGGAAAGTCGTGAGCTGGATGCCTGAAGCCAAATGGACAAGTCAGAGCCCTCTGAGTGAGTATTCATATATCCAATGATTCTAGGATCGAGAGTAACTGCAGAGAGCATACCTGGCTGGGTCGAGGTATAGTGTGATACTCAGAGGGAGAGACTGTCTAATGGAAGATTGCTGCTAAGTTGCTGCATATGCTTTCACATGTGACTGCTGTGGACCGTCCACTAAATGCAATTGTCAATGTACTGTTAAGTGACTCTGGAATGTATATTGATATTCAAGTACCAACAGTAACCTTTTGCATGAAAATCCCTTCTTTTGGGGATATAAAGGTCAACAGCTGGAAATGTCATGTGGAAGCCTGTGGCATTAA